CGCCCCCGGCCGCACCGCCACCATTGGTCACCCGTCGCCCGCCCTCCTCAAGCCATTGGCCTAGCCATCCGTCCATCACAGCCGCCCCCCCACGCTTTCCCACACAGCGCCGCGCATCCTGAGTTCGCCACGCCCCATCACCGCCCCATTCTGTCCCCTCGCGGTCTCCATTGGCCGCGGGCCGCTGATTTTCCCACGGCTGTTGGCCTGTTCTTCCATCCGTCACGTTCTCCCCGCCTCCCAAGGTGTCCCACATACCGTTGCGAGGCTTCAGTGCCATGCCTTATCTATGCAGCCATTGGCCAGAGGGTTCCCATTTTTCCGAAATTATTGGTTTTGCTATACGTCCGTCATATCTACTATCGTCCCGGCAGGCCGCTTCCGGCACTGCGCCCCAGCCACTGACAGCCACGCCCACTGGCCTACGATCTCTTTAGTCCTCGCCTTTACTGTCACGATTGGCCATTGCTGCCAAACCATTGGGCCACCCGCACACCGTCATGGCCCACTAACCCCGCCCCTTTCCTAGCGCTCGCCAATCAGGAGCTGGAACGCCACGTTATTTGCACACGGTACCTTTCCTCAGCCAACTGGCTGCCGGGCGGCGACGGCACCTGTTGGAGGCCTACTAACGGATGGCGATGGCTGCCTTCGCAGAGACAGGGAGAGGGCCGCCTGAGAACCTGTATGCCCCAACTTGGGCTCGAAGTTTGCGGGGCAGGGGCGGGACTTCTGCCAGGCTATGCCAAGGGGGCGGATTTTCGGTCTGGCCTCCGCCTCGGACGTAGCGAGGCGCTAAGTGGGGATGGTCACAGGCGGGACCGCGAGTTGTGCGGGCCCGAGAAGCCTGCATCTCGCCGCAGATACACCGCCGGCCCTGCCGACTCCCAACCGGGGTCATTGATAGCCTTCGTGAGAATATAATCGCTCAAGCCAAAAACTCAAAAGTTAAGCACAGAATGCCGCTCCGTGCAGGAATTCATACTTGTTCACCCAGAAACGTGTAGGCCAAAATCCGTAAGAAACCACCTGAACATCCAGCTAGATGAATAAACAAATGAGGTACGTCCACTTAATGGACTATATTACTCTAAGATGTGAAGTATTGATACATGGATGAACCTTAGAAACATGCATATTCTATGATTACATTTATATAGTGTCCACAACGGCAAATCCATATTAGGTACAAAGGTGGTTTCCAGGCTGGGGAGGTAGGAAGGGGGAATGACTGCTTAACGGATACAGGATTCTTTGCACAAGGGGTGATGAACACGGTTATGCCACTTGTAAAATTACTTAAAGTTATTTAATTGTGCACTCAAGATGGGTGGATTTTATGATATATAGGATGCTTCAGGAAAGCTGTTGAAGCTAATACACATAGCTACATGTGGCAGCTGACACCTGTACCAGATACATGGGAGACAGGTTGGAAAGTTCCAGAGTAGCCAGACAACTTAGCAAGACCCTGTCTCAAAATAAAGACTGGAGGATGTAGCTCAGTGGCAGAGCACTTGTTCAGTATGTGAGGTTCTGGATTCAATCTCTTGTGTTGTAACAACAATAACAAAAACACTGTGGAAGCTAAGTGTAACCCTTTGGGGTCCAGATGCTGCTGCTGCATGTGACCACAGGCAAGTTATGGCTCCTGTCAAAACAGATCTGTGCAGAAGCAGTCACGTCACTTTGATTACCATGTGTCTGGCTGCTAAGGATGCCCCTGCTGCGTCACCTCTGGGTCTGGAAAACAGAACAGTGCCTGACAAGAACTTCTCCCCTCCCAATACTGAACCCAGGCTGTTAACTCCAGCAGCATTCAATCTTCACACAGAGAAAACCTGGTGGGCAGCCCCAAACTGACATTCCCCACTCCCAAGGCTGAAAACATGGCCCTTGCTGACCATCCAGCTACGCAAATGCCGGTTTGGTTGGATGCAGTGGTTCTGGAGGTTCCTCACAGGTGCTCCTCTGGTGAATGGCGGTTCCTGGTGAGCAGCTGAGTTTCAGGAAGGGGTTTCCCTGGTATCCTTTAGGATCTAAGCGGCCAGATCCATGCCGAGACCCCCAGGCAGATCTGGAGCTCACTCTTAGTCCCTAAAGAAGCTCAAGTTTTTGCCTGTGCCTTCTGCCCAAGAGTGGCCATTCCTCAGACACTGGGTCTCAGCAGACATGGCCACATTTACAGAGGCCACACCATAACACACACCATGTGTGTAGGAAGGAAGGAAAAGAGAATATACAGCCATAATAAAGTATGAATATATTTTTAAAAGGTTGAAACTAGGGTTGTGGCATGCTTTTAATCCCTGAACTTCAGGAGGCTGAGGCAGAAGGATCAAAAATTCAAGCCCAGACGGGCATGGTGATGCACACCATAATCCCAGCACTAGGAAGGCTGAGGCAGGAGGTTCACTGTGAGTTCAAAGCCAGCCGGGGCTATATAGTGAGTTCAAGGCCAGCCTCAACTGCATAGACTCTATCTCCAAACAAATTTAAGCCCAGCCTGGGCAATTTTGTAAAACCCTGCCTCAAGATTTTGGTACCGGGGATTGAACTTGGGACTTTGTACTTGCAGGGCAGGTGGCAGAACCACTGCGCTAAATTCCCAGCCCTCAAAATAATTTTTAAAATGGGCTGGAGATGTATAATAGCTCAATACAAACATTCCAGGTTCAATACCCAGGTACCTCAAAAAAAAAAAAGGTTGAGGCAAGGAGAAGCGTTTAAAAGCAAAATTGAGGATTACATAAAATATTTTGAAATAATAATCCTTGGCCACAAAGATTATTAAGTTTAACATTAGGGGTTGAACAGTTACTGGGCAACTGTCCTTGCAGAAGCAAGAAGCACTTCTTGTGTAAGGTTTTGGCGGCCTTTATGCAAAGTTGTGGCCCAGCAGTCTTTAGTGATAATTTCTGGCTAGGGTGATCGTGTGAGAATCTTGCTGCATGAAGGGGAAGGAGGCCTGGTTGGTGGAGGAGCTGGCCTCCCACGCAGTTGTAAGCATATAATGGGTTCCACTGAGTGGCCCTGGCCTAGCAAATATATCCTTACCTGTCACTGGGGCCTCAGGCCAAGGGCAAAGCAGGCAGACACAGACCTCCACTTGGAAGTACTAGGTGAGCGCTTGCCTGGCTGACTCCCCAAAGGATTGTGTAGGCCTGAGCAACAGTGGACTCCGAGTCTCCCTGGTGGCCCCATGCCCATTGGTTGTGAGCAAAGTAGGGCCTAGATTCTGGCAGCCTTTGTTAAGGAAAGGGCTGAGGAGAAAAAGGGAAAGGTCTGGGAATTTGTCCCTTCCCTCCAGGATACCTGCTGTGGTTTGAACATGTTCCCCAAGATTTCACCTGTTGGAAACTTAATCCTACTTAGCAATAAAGGATAAATTTGAGTTGTTTGTAGAAGAGTGGATGTACCTTGAGACTATAATGCCAAGCAAAATAAGAGACAAGAGGTTAAATGTCACATCGTTTCTTACAAGAGAAACCCAAAGAATAAATAATTTAAAAAGCAAAATAAGACAGATAATAGAAAATAGGGAGTTCAACCTTTTGCAGAATGGAAAAGGGATCTAGGGATGGAGGGAGAGGGGTGGCAAAGGGGAATAAAAAGGACTAAGATGTGATATGTATATGTACCAACTACCTACAATGAGTATATTCACTATATATTGCAAATGTACTAATAAAAAATAAAATTATAAAAAAAGAAACCTAATCCCCCAATTCATATTAATGGTGTTTAGGGGTGGAATGTTTGGGAGATAATTAGGATCGCATGAGGTCTTGATGGTGGCATTAACGGCTTTGTAAGGGAAAGAGACCTGGACAGGCACCCCTGCTCTGTCTTGCCACGTGATGCCTGGCACTGTGCTATGATGCAACAAGGACTTCCTCAGATACTTACATCATGGTCTTAGATTTTTTCAGTCTCTAGAATCATGAGCCATTTAAGCCTCTATTCTTCATGACTTACCTGACCTCAAGTATTTTGTTAAAGCAATAGAAAATTTACCAAGACAGTATCTTTGCACTGTATCCCAAACCCTCAGAAGGGTCTGTGGTCACCCACTGTGGCAAACAGACCTTGGCCCCTGAAGTCCTGTGCCCAGGAAGCTCTGGTAGCACCCGACTGCAGTTGCTCCAGACCCTGCCCTGGCCTGGTACCAAGGGGAGGCCCCTTGAGCATCCTGTGAGTGGGAAAAGCCAAAATCTTGGTGGGTGGTATAGCTAGTGGTGAGAAGACAATGAGAGACAGGCTGTTCACATGCTCACAAGGGTCGCTAGACAAGTTACTGTTAACAAGGTCCCTGTTTGGTGGCACACACCTATAATCCCAGCACTTGGGAGGCTAAGTGAGGAACGCTGCCAATTTGAGACCAGCCTGTGCTACAAATTGAACTGAAAGCCAGCCTGAACTACATCTCAAGAAACTAAAGAAAAAAAAAAAACAAAACAAAACAAAAAAAGGGGGAACCCAGGCAGATAGCTGCCCTGGCCAAGAGATCAAGTTGATAACACCTAGCATAGACAAACAGACCTTTCATGCCTCCTGAGATGATGCCAAGGACAGCAGCACTTATATGCTGTCCTGCCACAAACATGAGCAGTAGTATCTCATGAAAATCACCAGACAAATCCATGTAAGGGACACTCTTTGGCAAGTGGGATCTCAGTGGCTGCAAACAGCTGATGTGACCATTATACCCTCAGCTGGCTCCGGGGCCACACCTGGGCTGGCCCTTGGGAAATAAGCAGCCTGGTACCCTGTTCAGATGACAGCAGCCAGGTGGGCTAGGCTGAGGGACAGATCTTTGCCCAGTGAGAATGCCAGAGGGGGTAAAGGGGCAGTGACAGGCAGCTGGAAGAGTAGTAGTGGCAGAACGGCAGGGAGGGGTGGAGGCAAAATGTGTAGCAGCCCGTGTGTGACAGCCCCAGCTTTTGATTGCTAAGAAGCCCAGGTCAGAGGCTCCTGCACTTGCGTCTAGGAGCTGGACACGGTACCCAGATGGAAGGCTGCCCCCAGCAATGTAGGTGTGAGGCCAGTCAGCAGGCTCGTGAGTGAACACAGTTCCACAAGAAGCTCTCCAGCACTCTGCAGTCAGTTCCACTTGGTAGAGACCCAGGCTGGGGAGCTGCTAACAGGTCTCTCTGAGCTCCAGGCCCTCTCTATAAGCGGGACCACAGATGGGAGGCCCCCAAGGCCCCCAGAGGCTGCAGGACAGGTAGGGTCAGCTCAGTTCAGGGAGTTCCTTGCCCTTATGGAGCCCAAATACATATCAGAGCCAGGGGTGGCTTACCCCTGTCCCAGATACAGCCCTGTACACCAGGAGAGGCTGTGAGGGGCTATCTAGCTGGGCTAGGGCTTGAAAGGGCATGGGCCTACTCCCTACCTGCCAGCACTGTGCAGGGTAAGTGAAACAGGAAGCAGGCCATGGCAATCACCTCAGAGAAAACCCAAGTCCTCCAGGAGGCATTTGCACCCACTGGGTTCACCTTAGACCTGCGGCACACATGGGATTACAAAGGCTAACTGGCGCTCTAAACATGTGAAGTTTTATTGTAACAAAAGCAAGAGGCAGGTCAGAACCCATCCTGCTGACAATCTTCACTGGGTGCTTAAGAGCTGATGTGGCCTGAGGCAAGGAGTATGGGTAGTGGATATGCCAGGTTAATAGTCCCGAGTGCCCCAGAGATGGGCAGGGCATGCTGCCCCCTCCTAGCTACAACACAGACCTTTCTGCACCATTGGGCACCTTTATCCTCCTCTCCTAGGGCCTCAATCATTGCTGGCTGACTGACAGCCAGGTAGAGAGCCACAACACCTCCTCAAGGGTACCCATACTGTGGGAGCACTTGTGTCCTCGAGCCACTCTTGAGGGAGCTCCAGGAGAAAAGCCCTGATCAATTCAGGGTGCAAGAGCTCTGTTTTGCTGGGGCTGGAGGTCAGCAGCTGCTTCAACCTGGGGTGGGAGGCATTCTGCTGCAGCAGCTGGAAGATACCAGAAGAGTGCATCCCAGGAAGTGGCCCTCCACCCACCACTGGGGAACAGCCAGAGGGACCTGCCAGTACTCTCCAGAGGCTGACCTGGGAGATGCTGGGGATCAGGCAGTGTGGAGACCACAGCAGACCAGAGTCAGGTCCCAAAGCCAATGGTGCTAGAGTGGGATGTAGTGTGGGCTGAGAGGAGGCTGCCTCACATGGCCTGGTGAGGCCCCCAGTATCAGGATAGGATTTAGAACAAAGCCTGCCCACACTTGGGAGCCCATGAACCCAAAGCTCAATGCCACAATGACTGAGAGGTGTGATAGTGGGCTGTGCAGTGGTGCTGAGCAGACCACAGCCAGGTACCTCAGTCCTGCTTATCCCCTTTCTGCTTCCAGGGGTAGATAAGCTCTCCAAAAAACAGTTTGCGGCACAGGGAGCCCCACGAGTGCTTGGGATGGCAGCCACAGGTTGGCAGGCGGTAGGTGTGCACCACATTGCTGTAGGGCAGGGGGTTTATCTGGAAGAAGAGAATGGCAGTCAGCACGGTGATCAGGGTGCTACAGCATGTCTGCAGAGGAAGGACTAGGGTGCAGGCCCGCTGCAGAGTCCCTGGGCTGGGCAACTGTGGGACAGGGCCAGCCAGCCCAGACATGGCTCTTGCCCATGACACAGCTGGCCAACCCCCAAAGACAGCTACAAGTTTCTAAGGCAGATGAGGTGGGGCAGGAGCTACATGTTCCCTGGGGATGGATATGTACCTGTCCAAGATTCATTCAGCTCCCAGGAGCCTCTTAGGCAGGGGAAGATCACAGAGTCCCTGGCTGCCTCAACATCTAAGGCAGGATGGACTTGGCCCAAAAGGTAATCTGCAACCTACCAAGGTACCCAAAACCTCGTCTTGCTCCCTCCCACAAGGACCAAGCACCCAGAACTGTTTAAGATGGAATGGAACCGTCGGGGCCCAGTGGGGAATGCCTGAAGGTCTTGAGGCCTTTGTTAAATTGATTTTTTTCCACCAGGAACTTAAGCCCTATGGGGCCTAGGGCAGGAATTGGGACATGGGGCCAAGTAGGCAGCCCAGGATATCGGATCTGTGACAAAGTGACCCCATCCATGAACTGGGCTAGATTTCAGCCACGAAAACCACCATGAACCCTCAAACCCTGCAGGGGGCCCCTTGTCTGCATTTGGCCCCAGGCTGATGTGCACCCGGACTCCATAACAACTGACACTAGCTGTCCCCAAACCTAGGCAGAGCAGTGGATGAGGCATGAGGTCTCACCTGCATCATGAGGCGGAGAGGCCTGCCTGCCTCATGCTCCAAGACACGGAACTTCACGCCAGCTGCAAGGAGAACAAGATGCTGAAGGGGAGAGTGGTAGCCTTTTCCAGCACCCACAGAGCCCTGCAGATAGCCCCGATTGTCCTGCTACTGATCAGCAGAGGATGGTGTGGGCAGTGACCTCTGGCAGCAAAGGCCCCTTCTTCTGTGCAGCACCCAGGTGGTGGCAGGCCTGCCTGGGCACACAGCAATCTTCGTCCCCCGTCCTTCCCATCTGCCTCTTGAGCTAGCTGCCTGGGCAATAAAATGGCCTCTACAGCTCTGCAGCTCTACAGAAATAGCTCAGTGCAAAATCCCTGGGTTCAATCCCACTACATGAAGGAAAAGAGGGAAGGAAGAAAGAAGAAAGGAAAAGAAAGGGGTTAGGGTATCCAGAACAGGAAGCAACCTTGGTTCAAAGCTGAAAAACATGTCCATACCCTGTGGCTGGAGCTGGCTAAGAGGGCCACCTGGGGACGGTCACTTTGGAATGGGAACTGGACCGCAGCTGTGCCAGGAAATTCTCAGGTCCCCTGCTGTGTCCAAACCCTCTCAGCCAGATGAGCTGACCCACAACTAGGGCCTTCACACTGAGCTACTTCCCCAGCATTTTAAAAATTTTTTATTTTGAGACAAAGTCTAAGTTGCCCAGGCCAGACTAGAAGCCCCTGACCAGCAGGGACAGCCTCCCCTCAGGAGCTAGTTTCACACTGGTATCAGAGCACCACGGGGCAGCCACCTGCAGTAAGGATGGCAGGGAGACAGCTGGGGTGGTGGATGCCAACCACAGATAGTGCAGGGCATTCTTATCATGGGGTCTGGCCAGCCTGGTGGCCCTTTCCCTAGCCCACCCCTCCAAGACTAAGGGTGCCAGCAGGCACATGGCCCACATAACCTGTGAAGATGGACCTTCTCTGAGCCACAGTCAGATAACACATAAGCTACAGTGGAAAGACCTACAACAAATCAAGGATATTACAGGAAGAGCACAGCACGAGCTGCACTGACCCACAGCCTCAGGGGGACCTTCCACCCTACCTTATGAGGGCATTTGGCCCAGCAGATGCCTGTGAGCAGGAAGCTCTGCCTCCCCAACTACCCATGCCACAGCCCTCTGCCTCCAGGTAGATGACCAGCACAGCAAGCACTTTTGCAGAGTCCAGTGGATATATGTTCCCAACTGCCAGGGGGGGCTGGCTGCCCAGCACACAGAACTTACCTGCCAGTCTGTAAGGCCGACAGAGTCGAAGGCCAAGTGAGTACAGAGGTAGGGAGTTGATGAGGTCCACAAGCAGATGGATCAAGCCCTGTACAGTGACCACCAGGAGCCGGAGCTGCAGCAAAAGCAACACTCAGGACCTCTGAGCCAGGGCTGTGGCCAGAGCCTTGTTGGACATGCTCTCAAACAGAGCCACTCGATGGGATCATGGGCCACAGCCAAGAGTGACTGAGGGTCAAGGGCCCTGGGAAAAGCATGGGTCCTATACTGAGAAGAGTAGAGAGCCTGCCTTTGGTTTGGGTACCCAAGAGGCAGGAGGGAGACAGCACCCCTACTCTGGGGCCAAGGAGCCAGCCCACCCACCAGGTCAGAGACCATGAGTCCCAAAGCCCCACACGGTGACCCTGCTCACCTCCCACTGTCCACCCTGTAGCACCCAGGACTTCTATGACCCTAATACCCCCACTGTTCAACATGGGCTTTGCTGGCACTTGCACCCAACCAAGCGCCCCCACAGCAGGGGGTACCCAGGGTAGGACCCCAGCCATTCTAGGGCCCAACATACATTTCCCAAAGCCCAAAACAGCCACGCTAATGTGGCCTGCAGGGGTAGATGGCCTGGCCCATAACTGCAGTGAGGGCTCACAGCTCACTAAGGCTGACAGTGTCTACTTCAAGTACTGGAGGCCCCATGACACGAGTGCTTGGCTCACCAACGTGAACACTAGGTAGTACAGAGCCGTGGTGGGCAGGAGAAAGATCAGGATGGTGAAGAGCAAGGTTCCAACGAAGAGCTGTGGGGAGAAGGCGGCAGTACACCTGGTGACTCAAGGCCGCAGCCAGGAGTGGCCCCTAGCAATGGCTATACTCCACTGCCCACCCCAACCAGTCCCGTAACTTCAGATGGGACCTCTTGGCATCCAAGTGAAATCTGGACAGCTTGCTCAGATACACTTCCCAGTACCACGAGAGGCGCATCCATGGGCCTCGTATATACTTGCTAGGCTTGTAGAGTGGCCAGCCAGTGGGGTAGATGGCCAAGACAGTATCAGAAAAAAGCTCTCCTGTGTTAGGTATGAGCAAGCCAATGCACCAAGCCAGAGCAGAAGTTTGGACATGTGGCCCCAAGCACGGTGCCTTGGAAGCGAGGTCCTCTCTGGCATGGGGAAAGTCTGTGTGTACCTCCCCCAGCCCAAATGTAGTGGGCCAGCTACAGGATGGAGCCTCCTCCCACACACACCCCCAGGCACCTGGTCTAGGTCGTAAGAGCAGGAGTCCACCCGCTGACGCAGCACGTTCCACTTCTTCCCCCGGAACAGACGCCAGAGAGAGGACAGGCCGTAGATCTTCAGGCAGTACAGCCTGTGGACATGGGCACCATAAGGGCTGTGCCCCATGCCTCACCCACACCCCAGAGCTCGTAATGTCCTGGGCCCAAAGGCTGCACATAGGACACACATGCTTACCGGGCACCGTAGACATAGAAGCAGTAGATGTGGAAGGTGAGGAGGGCAAGAATGTCCGACAGGATGGAGAGGGCAACTGTCAGTCCCAGGCAGGCTGAGAGGCCCACGTGCCACAGGATACGTTCGATGAATGGAGACATGAGGTGGATATAGCCTGGCAAGATGGTGGTTAGCCCTGAGTGGTGCGCCTGGAGTTCCTGGGACACCCAGGTTCCTTGCTAAACATGGATGCCTGAGGCTTGAGAAACCTCAAGCACAAAGACCACACCATTGGGCCTGATGTCTGGCAGGTCAGCTAGACCAGCACAATGGGCTTCATACACAAGGGAGACTAGCAAACAGGGATAAAAGGGACAGGGCCTGGCGGGGCCCTGCCACCCTCCTCAGCTGAGGCCTGGGTCCCTGGAATGTGAAGCTCTGCCAACCCTCTTATCCCTATCAGGCACTCACTGATCCACAGGTGAATGTGGTACAGGAAGAAGCGGCCCAGCACCTGGTCCAGTGCCCGGTTCATCTTGAGCCCAGCAGGAGCACCCATCAGCCACTGCAGCAGATGCTGGAGCTCCTCGGCCACATGCTGCAGGGACATGACGTGGGGGTGGGGTGGACAGGGGTTGCTGTTGGTGGTGAGTGTGCAGTCAAGATCAACAAACATCAGCACCTCCTGAGATCTTCATGGTGGGCTTCCACCTCAGCCTGCCTGCCCGAGCAGGGCAAAAGCAGTCCACACTTCCTTCCTCCAAAGATCCAGACCCCCATCTCCTAAATAGATGGGCAGTTTCCCAAATGCCTAGCCTAGCCAAGGAACCCCTCTTCAGGCCCAAGCACAAAACCTAGGCAGCTGACAAGTGCCTCAGCCCCTTGGGCAGGTGCTCCTGATGGGCATGAACCTACTGAGAGTAACCCTCTGCCTCCCACCTCACCCCTTCACCTCTGGACTCCCTGAAGCCTGAGCCCCAAACATGGACATGATCAAAGCTGGACAGTAGGGCTTACTTCCAGCCCTACAGGGGAACTGTGGACTAAAGACACCACCCCACCACCTACCACCACTTGTGCTACCCATGGGGTGTGACCTCGTGTGAGTAAGAAAACATCAGACCCATCAGGGCCCAGAGCAGCAGGTGGCAGTGATGGAGGACACGGGCCCCCAGAGGAGAGGATAAGATCAAGTGAGGGCAAGAGACAGCACAGGGACCTCAGGAGCAAGTAGGGAAGCCAAGCTCTAGCCACCTAGGACAGCCAGCTTCTAGGTCCTGTGCTAGCCACTGGAACCCTCATTTTCCTTGCTGAGGCAAGGCTACAGGCAGCATCTCTGTGCCCCAACCTGTCCATCCTCAAGGCCCTCTCTTGATCTTGTGCTAAGGCCTCAGCCGTGTCAAAATTAGCAAGAAGGGAAGAATGTTCTTTATAAATAGAGCTTATTTAATATTTAAAGGATAAGGGCTTGGCAGCAGGAAGAGACTTTCATTTTTAATTAAATATTTATATTTTTGAGCAACTTGGCAGAGGGATGTCTAGGACAAAGTTGGTCAAGAAGCAGAGTATAGAAGCAGCCATGCCTCTCCCTACACCAACCCCTCCTTCCTACTGGACTGGTCTTGAGTCCCCATAGCCAACAGGGAGCTGAGAGGCACTAGCTCCAGCCCCTCAGAGTCCTAATCTAGCCACAAGCAGGCCCCAAGAGGCCAAAAGGTGGACATGCTCCTAATGGGAGAGGCAGGGCTCTGGGTCCAGCAGCATGTAAACAGCAGGTAGACAAGGACAGAAGAGGAGGGCAGGGCCTGCCCCTGGCCAGGACATGCTGGTAAAGTAAGGAGCGCAGAAGACAAGCCTGCACCCCTAGCTGTCAGCATGGGAATTACGCAACCAATGTCGGGCACAGCATGACACACCCGGCAGACAGCCTTGGGCAGAGAGGTTCCCTGATGCTCATGCAGAGAGCACAGAGTCCAGGAGAGAGAGAAAAAAACTGATCTCAGGGGTAGAGAAACAATGGAGAGCTACAATCCTGGGCCTGGCAGAGAGAAGGACTCCTCCTAAAAGCTTTAAGAATGAGTGGCCCCAGATAAACTGGACATGGTGGCACACACCTATATTCCTGGCACTTGGGAGGCTGAGGCAAGAGGATTGCCACAAGTTCAAGGCCAGCCTACATAGTAAGACTCTGTCTCTAAATTAAAACAAAAAACAAAAACAAGTGGCCCCAGATATATTCACCTTCAGGAGGAGAAACAGGCACTTGGCAAGGGCTGCCCTGAGTGACATCAGTTCTAACAGCCCCCTGCTCAGTTCAGGCATGAGGGTTGTGTGTGCAGGGTAAGGACGGGAAGAGCTACTCCAGCTGACTCAGAGAACTCAATCAGCCACAGGAGGGAAACCCTAATGTACTCACGTCAGCCATGGGGATGAGGGCGTCAGCAAGTTGCCCAATTCGGTTACTGCTATGGAGCCAGGACAGCAGTGTGAGGCCAAGGGCCACATCCAGGAGCAGAGAGACCAGCATGTTGGCCTTCCTAGAAGAAGGGTCAGTGGGAGCAGTGTGAGGGGTCCAGTGGCAGTAGAAGGCCACCCAGGAAGGCTGGTGCAGAGCAGGGGTAGGGAAGGGACTGGACCCAGAGCGTTCTACCTTTGAAAGACCCCTGGCCAAACCTCATCAACTGAGCAGGGCCCCGGGCCTTCTGGGTGCTGAAGACGAGCGTGAGGTGCTCAAACCGGTGCCGGAGCTGCTCACAGGTGGAGAACTTGCTGGCGATGAAGGGCAGAGGCCACAGCTTCCACAGCCTGCACGGGAGCATGAGCATCCATTGAGAGATCCATCAGGGCTCTCCTTTCTGATGATGCATGCACCGTGCAGGTGCATAGAGGAAAGGCTGGAGCCCAGTGGCCCCTGCAGAACTCAGCAGGCCAGGGAGGCAGATGGGGCAAGCTGCACTTCCAGGGCTCAGCCACAGTGCGTGCTCACCTTAACACAGAACCTGAATGCCTCAAAAAACTGTGGCCTCAACACACCTTAGTCCCCAGGTCAGCCCAAAGCTGAGCTCATTACAGTCCCAAAAGTAGGAATCAGGTGGCCTCCTGCCTACCCAGGATCTTGCTTTCCCTGTCTGATGGGGCCCAGAAGGCTCAGATTTCCCGGAACTAATCCAGCTTCCCAGTGAGACTGAGTTTCTCACAAGGAAAAGGAAGCATGGCGAAACTTCTACTGGCTCTCACATGCTAAGGAGAGAAGTCTGCAAGCAGCGGTAGAGAAAAGTGGCAACTCAGCGGCATGCATTCATATGCGGCCAGGACAGCAGCATCAGGCCAAGGGCCACATCCATGTTGACCTTCCTGGAAAGGGGGTCAGCGGGAGCCCATACCCCCATCCAAGCCCCTGATAAAGGGAGGAGGGGCCCGAGACCAAAGGGCTCATCCTCAAGAGAGCAGCTCTGAGACAAAAAATGGGCCACATTCCACTAAGCCTCCCCTTCCTCACCACCGAACAGGCAGTGATCCCTTGCTGGCTACACAGATACCTCACTGGTGTGATGATCTCTCCAAGGTTGCAGATAAGCCCTGCATGGTCCAGGCCCCTGACAACATCCCAGGAGCTGCCTGGAAGAGGCACAAAGCCATGAGGGACACAGGGACTTCATTCCCATAGTATCAGCCATGGCTTACCTGAGTATCAGCACCTATAATCACCAGTCAACAGCCAATACTTGCCTGATGGGCTAATCAATATCTGGCCCTCACCAGCAGTTCTGAACCCTTCTTGGGTCCTTTGGGAATATGATAAAAGCTAAGGACTCTGTCAAAACTGAACCTCAGCCCAGACACATACTTTCACCTACTTAATTTCAAGGCTGTTCTGAACCCTCAAAGCCCCATTCCTCACATCAAGATTCCCACAACCCAAGGTGTCCCCACACCCAACTCTGTCAGTCCCTGGATCAAACGGGAACCACAGCCTCTCCCCATGGGGTGACAGCACGAGGTAAACATCTTTTCAGGGAGGGAGGGGCTCCCAGGCCCTCTGGTTATAAGCCAGCAAACGCAGGCCCTCAGGGCTTTTATAAAATCGTGGGCTGAGCCAGCGGGCCAGGACCCTTGCAGGTGGTTCTGAATGTGAAGTTGGGAACCACAACCCCAGGCCAACAGTGAGTGAATGTCACCCCACAGCCTCAAGGGAGCTCTGCCGATAGGGACAGCAGTGGTACCTAGAGGCCTGCTGTGTGGAGAGCTGGGGTCACAGGGAAGCTGGCAGGCCTGTGTGCTCTAAGTAGGCCAAACTCCTAGATTGAAGGGACCTGAATCATCCACAGTTCACTCCATCTTCCTACCTGCTGGGCTGCACATAGCCACTGAGGCTGCTGGAAACTGGCTCTAACCCACGAGTAGGGGACATGAAAACTGCAACTACTGGGACATCCTCTGAGATGCCAGGGAAGTTAGGGCAAGAACAGTGCCAGGGCCCTGGGGGTAGTTGTGAGGCTCAGGAAGGACCCATATGGGCTTCCAAGTCCCTGCACACTGAAGGGAAAGCCTATGACTCTCAGGGGCCCACTGTCTGCCCCTCCCTCCATGTCCCCAGTGGCACCTACCGGCAGGCACTTGCAGCTGAGACCAGTGACAGCAGGCAGGCCACCAGCAGACAGACAGGCCCTGAAGCCTTCTTTGCCAGCTCCACGAGGATACTGGCCTCCAGACCTTCCGATTGCCAGTGGCTCAGCCTCACCGGGTCCTCATCAAATTGGTTTTTGCAGAACAGCGCCTCACTGCGTGACACTGTGTCAAAGATAGCAGCCAGGCCCTCTGCACTGGCTGTGGCGTCTCCAGCCTGGCAGTCAGGCAGAACTGTGGGTGGATGCAGATAGGACAGCAGCACCTTACGCTGGTCATAGAAGATAAGCATGACATGGTCCTCAATGGGAACACCAGGGATGGTGGAACTTTGCTGGTGGGTAGCCTTGCAGCTCCAGAACTTGCTGCCCTTCTCCCAGCATAGCTGCAGCCAGGGCTCGTGAGAGAAGATGGTACCCAGACCCTCCAGGAAGTGGCCTAGGCTCTCCTCAGGCTCCTGCTTGTGATGGCACCAGGTGCCCAGCACAACCAAACCTACCTGGCTGGCCTGCTGCACCTGGGCCAGGAGCTCCTTGACCTGGATGGGGATGAAGGGAAAGTGCACCACAGCCAAGACCACGGCACTGCTCTGCTCTGGGATCCAACGACCCACCAACAGGCCACTGTCTGCCAAGGTGCAGCATGTGGGGAAGAAGGCCTTGAGCACCATCCCAAGGACCCTGGAAGGGAGGGAAGAGGTAGATTCAGAACTGCTGCTGCATGAAGACTGTCAACTCTGTGGCTATAGCATGTGACCGGCAGTCCTGATGTATACATTTGTTGCCCACAGGTTGGGGCAACCCAGCACTGGGTTTGATCATTGAGGCTGGTGGGCTTTGGCTGTCCATCTCACGCTGGCCCTTGCTCCTCCAAGGCCAGTGTGAGGACTACCACACAAGGCAGTGGCTGTGAATGTCTTAGCAGTGCTTCCCCTCATTTCAAGACAAGCAGACTGAAAGAGGGCATGGTGACATGCCCCTAGAGACATCGCCTGACAAAGGCTTGTGGAACTGAGCACAAGGCTCTTGTTTTTTAAGGTACTAGGGATTGAACCCTCACAGGTGCAAGCAAATGCTCTACCACTAAGCTCTATCCCAGCCTTTTTATTTTGAGATGGTATCCCTCTAAGTTGCCCAAACTGGCCTGGAACTTGAGCCTCCTAAGTAACTGAGACTGCAGATGTGTAGCATTACAGCTGGCTAGCACAAGGTTTTTTAAGAGCCCAGATTAAAGAGGTTTATTTATGTGTAGCACATTGAAAAGCATGTGGTCTCAACAAAATAACACAAAATACAATTTTAATCAGGATTTACTGATTAAGATTTTAAGAATAAAAACACAAATTTAAGATAAGCTTTTGGGCCAAGGAAACCAGAAGCATGTACATAGCTGGCCACTGCAGATACTGGTTCGGCACCCCAGAAGGTGCCTGGGGAAGAGCCCAGAGTCTAGACTGCCCCCTTCCTGAAGGAGCCTCCCCCTTCATGATAGTGAGGGCATCCACCTGTCACTATGATCAGGAAACAGGCTCAGCTATCTTGGAGTTTCTGCCCTCGCTGTGACCCTCCACCCTACTTTTAGTGTCGTTGAGCAGTACCCACCATCCCCTGGAATCCCCAACAGCCGCTCAGGGAAGGGCTCACACACAGAGAGCATTTTCCCCCTTTTAGGATGTATTTCTCCAACCATGTAGCCATCTACACGTGGGATAGGTATGCACGGGACTTGGAGGTATGGAAAATGCTGTCATGTTCTCAGAATGAAGAGACATCAGCCTTTCTGGCCTCTCACCTCCCCAGTGTGGCCCTGAACAGCAAGCTCAGCCCCAAGCAGCTGTGAGTACTAAATTCTGCAGGGGCCTGAGCCTTTTCTTCCCCAGAAGCAAGTTAGTTTGGGATCCTGTGTTTCCTGGCAGGCACCCCCTACTGAGCTGGGCAGGCTTTCTCATTTCTCCATCTGAGTTCCTGCACCAGGCCAACAGGAAGGACTACCTCACTGGCACGGTCTAGCTGCCCACACTTATCTTCTTTGCCTGCACAAAGGACAAAGCAGTCACCCAAGCAAAGTCCCCGAGCTGGAACACACACCTGTGTGGAGAAGGACACAGGCCTTGGACTAATCCTGGGCCTCCAAGTCCAGTGCCCACCAAGCCCTTCAGGACAGATGGGAAGGACCTAAGAGAGTCACAAATGCCAGAAGCTTAAGAGACTATGATTCAATCAATGAAGGAAAAAAAAAAAAAGAGAGACAGAGAGACTGGTCCAGCGGCCCTGTTCTCCTACAGGTAGGCCAGACCAGGTGCCGGAAGGCCTAGGCCAGTGATGGCGAACCTTTTAGAACTTTCAATGATATAAACAGCCCGCTGCAGCATGTACGCCATAGGTTTGCCACTGCTGGTCTAGGCCTGTCACAGTCAACTTGGGAAAGGGGGATTTCACAGCTGTGGGTTCCAATTAAAAAGGGCACCCGAGTCAAGCTACAGGACTCCTAAAAGCCCTTTCCCCATAATGACCACGGAGGCTAGGCAACTGGTGGATGCCCACAGGGAAAGTCTGGTGCCCCACTTTCTCTTTCTGTCCCTTCTTTGGGGTCTGGCTCTAGGGGCCTATGAGGCACTTAGGGGCACTGTGAGAGGGACAGAACACTTCTGCCTGTGAGGGGCCCAGTATGTTTAGCTAGGTGACTGCCACAAGGGACTACCTAGCACAGCCCAAGCCTTGCAGCATCAGCCCTTCAGGACACACCATCATACCCTGCTGTGGAATAGTTTTTTACAGGAACTAAGGAAAATACCCTAAGACTATTGTCTGCAGAGAAACAACTTGGTCTAATAATAATCATGTTCTGGTGGGGTTATTGTGTTGGTTATTTAGTATGTTCCTCCTATTGGATAAATTCAACAGTTGTACATACTATTTGTGAACTTGCTTTGTGTGTAGTATGCTTCATCTACAAAGCTTGCCTTAAAAGCGAAACAGAACAAGAAGCTCCTCACATCTAAGGAAAGATTTGGAGGCAAGGTGTTGATGCTCTGATCTGAGGGGTGGTGAGAACCCAACAGATTAGGGGGCAAATTCTCATCCCCATTCCCAGCCTCTGGGAGTGACTGAAGTGCAAAAGAGCGCGCTCGCTCACCAGGCTGCAGGGGATCCAGCAGCCAGAAGAAGATGAAACACCAGGCAATCAATAGCAGAGAAGGTGTGAGATGAGAGAAAACAGGCAGAAACCTGGGCAACGTGACCATCTTTAAAGATGGTGATTAAAAAAAAAAAAAAAAAAAAAGTGGCCAGAGCTGGAAAGGAAGGAGACAGCTCCTGGTGAAACAGCCCTAGAAGGTCAGGTGAAGAGGTCCCAAGACAGCCTCCCACAGAAATCTGATTAAAAGCCCACCCCATGAAGCAGTACTAACCCATCCTCCAATGTATGAACGAATATGGGGCCCAGTTAGGACAGGCCAGGGACACAGCCTGAAATCCTCCTCCATGAAGCCTCGGAAGGATTCATCTTTACCCTACATTGTTTGTACACACGTATGTATACACACACACACACACACACACACACGTGCTCGAGGGACAACTTCCTTCTCTCCTGTAAGCATTGCTTTTCTGTCTCATTTCAGAAGGGTGGAGGTGAGTGTGTTTCCGTCCTTTCCGGTGGTCAGGGTCAAGTGTCAGGAACAGGCCCGTCCCACGGACGCCGGTGGCCTTGTGCAGTCCAGGCGGACCCAGGCTGGGCAGGTCACAGAGATCCGCCAGGCGCCCTTTAGACTCAGGACCGCCCACTTCGAGGACGAGAAAACAAATCCGAAAGGCCAGAGGCTGGCGCAGCCCCAGGACGGATACCCTCCCTCTGCCCTACTGAGGACTCCGGCCCTCCCGTGCTCACCCGCTGGACCAGGCCGCGTCTCCAGGCGACGGGGAGGGATGGGGTTGGGCACGTGTCAGGTGGGTCTGGGCTGACAAGGGCGCTCTGAGCGTCCAGCCCAGCCGCCTCCGCGCTGAGGGACACCAGTCCCATTTCCGCCCGCTCTGCGCGCGTTGCTGCGCAACGGTCCTACCCTCAAAGGCTCCCGGGCTGCCCGCAGGCCGTTCACTAGAGTTCCGCGCTCAGAGGCCACCCCACCCCGCCAGACCCCCGGCAAACTTCGCAAGCTATCTGATTTGTTCCCCATCTCAAAATGAAAGAGCCCCGAGGCCCTGCGTGGTGTTTCTTTATTCCTTCCTTCCTTCCTTCCTTCCTTCCTTCCTTCCTTCCTCTTTCTTTCTGTACCGGGGATTGAACTCAAGACCTTGCTTGCACTTGCGAGGCAGGCATGGTGCCACTGAGCTAAATCACCGGCCCTCTGCGTGGGTTTCAAAGAAGCTGTCCCTAGCTCCAACCGGTGCCCTCCCACCTTGTTATCTGTGGAGGGGCTGCCTCAGGCCACTCGAAGTCCCCTGCCCTAGGAACCCGCACCCTGATCAGCCAGCCACGGGCTGATGGGGTCCAATGGGGCTGTCACACACAGATGCCCTGGACCCCTGCTGTAGGAACAAGGTCCCCACAGTGAGGGCAGTAGCTGACGTTTATTAAGCCCTGGAGGCAACTTTTTAAATCCTGTCCACTTAATCCCCCACCTGTAGGGGCCATTACCTAGTGAGAGAACCAAGAATGGAAAGGCCTTAAATAATGGCCTGGTGCTGGATAGAGGTCACCTCACAACATGCTGTGGTAAGTAAGACCCAGCACTGTCCTCTCTGGCATGAAACCCATTCCTGGCCCGGACTCACCGAATAACTCTGCCCCTCTACACAAATCCCTTTCAGTCCCCATTTGCCCATTTAGGAGGAAAGGCTGTATTTTCTCTTTTTTTAAGCAGCAGGAGTCTGTCATCAGAGACAGGAGGGTGCCACCTGGAACCCTCCCAACACTGTCGCCCTCCCATGACTTTAGAGTTGTTTGGACATGTTTGCAGAAGAGAAAGTGAAGGTTCACACAGGCTTCAAAGTAGTTCCATGTGGGCAAGTGGCAGAGCCAGCCATGTCTTCCAGGGCACCTCCAAGCCTGACTTCCATTCCTTACCCCGCCTTACCTCTGCTTGAACCAGAGAAGGTGCTGGAGGCTCAGGACAGTGCGTGCCTCTGAGACTAGTGGGCCCTCTGAGCCCTGATGGGCCCTAATCCTGCCCCAAGCCACCAAGCCCAGCCACACCCTGTCTGCCTGCTTCTGATTAGGAGGCTGGGGCTGGGCCTGGTAGGAGATCTTGCCTAGGTATGTGCTGGCTGGTAGCCCATCGTGCCAAGGGATCTAAGGCTCAGCTGCCAGAGCTCTGGCTTCTGGGATCTGAGCCAGCAGAGCCAAGACTTAAGTGGACATGGGAACAGTGAACAGGGCCAGGGGCACACTGAGCAGGGATGTGGAAAGGCCCAGCTTTGGAGCCTTGAAGGAGTCAGCTGATTCATAGTTCTCTGAGAGAAAGACACAAGACCAGCCCAGGGCTAGGTACATTGGATCTCAGAGTCAGAAGTATGGCCAGCAGCCCCACAGGACCCCACTGACCCCCTGTGGTATGGTTTAATGGCCTGGAGGCTGGTCAGGATGGCGAAAGGTACTTTCATCAGAGTCCACCATCAGTCAGTCCAGTTCCCCGAGGTACTGGTACACCTTGATGCAGTTGTCTCCAGAATCTGCCACCACAAGTCGGCCTTGGGGTACACAGGCCACACCCAAAGGCCGCTTCAGCCCCTCCAACAGCAAGCAGATGGGGGGCCCAGCCCGAGGAAACAGGATCACCTTGCGCCTCTGCTCATCAGCCACAATGATGTTGCCCTCTGAGTCAGAGCACACACCTGCAGGGTGGCCAAAGCTGTGTCCAGTCAGAGTCCCCAGAGAGCCCAGGGGCTGGCAGGCACTGCCAAATAGCTGAACATCCCCAAACTCCTCGCTCACAGCCAGGCCCCCTTCAGGCCCTGGGCCTACCCAGCAAGGGCCCTCTAGACCCAGCACTGAGGGCAGGGCTCTGGGCTCCCAGGTGGGGCCCAACTTGAAGATGTGCACAGCTCCAACTACATAGTCTGTTACCAGGAAGCGGCCAAGAGCATCTACAGCCAGCCCTCGGGGGGATGGAAAAGTGCCTGCTATCACCCAGTGGCCCTGTGGGTCCCAGGCAGTGTGCTTGAGAGCATGGACAGCTCCATGTACAAGGTCGCTGACCACCACAAGCCCTGAAGCGGTCACAGCCACATCCTCTGGAACAAAAGGCCCAGCCCTCGGTGTGTGGCAGGGCAGATGACAGATGGACCGTCCCTCCAGGTCCAGCACATGGACACAGGTTGCTGCCCCAGCTGTCAGGAAGAGCAGGCCATCTGAGGAGCAGTGCAGGCCTCGGGGTCCGCCTGCAGCCCCTGTAGGGACCATGATTTGCCCAAGCAGCCTGGGCTGCTGGGAACAAGTAAGGGGTCCAGCCAGGTCCAGTTTGAGGGGCAAGCCCTCAGAGCAGCTGGCCAGTTCTGGGGGGAGCAGGAGGCCAGAGAATCAGTGACAGGAGACCAGAGAGTAGGCAGGTAGGCAAAGTCACGGCCTTAGCTTCTTTGCAGCTGCAAGAGAGATATAATGGGGGATGGCAACACATTTCTGTAATCAGAGCTCTTTGGGAGGCGGAGGCAGGAGGATGGCAAGTTTTGAGACCAGCCTAGGTAATTTAGCAAGACTCTTTCAAAATAAAAAAATAAAAAGGGTTGAGGTCTCTTGACTATCATACCCGGTCCTGGATTCAATCCCCAATACTGATGGAGGGAGAGAGGGACTGAAGGGGTAGGGAGGAAGCAAAAAGGGTGAGGCTCTTCCCTTGGATGCAAGTGGTGACTTAGTGGTCCTGGTGCCCTTCTCCGAGCAGGACTGGCATATCCCGGTCTAAAGATGACAGTGCTGTACTGGATTAGAGCATAGCTCCTCCAGATCCTAAGCGCCCATCTGGTTCCCAAGCCCAGGGCCACCAGGTGTGAAAGAGGAGTCTGGGACGTACAACCTACCCACAAAGGTTTGGGGTTTTGCTGCTGTTTGTTTGGCTTTATGTCTTTTTTGAGACAGGGTCTCAATATGTAGCCCAAGCTGGCCACAAATTCAATTTTCCTGCCTCAGTCTCCCGAGTGCTAAGATGTGCGCAGCTCCAAGAACATAGTCTGTCACCAGGAAGCAGCTTATATGTGTGTGCCATCATGCCCAGTTCCTGGAAGCTTTTGCTAAGCTCCAAACGAGCATACAGGCTTCACAATATCTTGGGTTAGGAGCGAGGGGTAATGGATAAGCAGCATCTCTCAGACTGCCCACAGGATCTCTTCCCTCTTGGGATTAGCCTAAGCCACTGCTGGCTGTCCCCACACTTGGGGAGACTTCTGAACTCTGACAGGTAAAGTAGGGTTCCTTCCCAGGGCCCTCCTCCTGCCCCTTGCAGAGACACCTGCCAGGGGGTTCTCGTACCTGAGGCCAGGCTCCCTGCTCCCGCTCTGCAATGGTTCTGCTTCTGCTCAGCTGTGCTCCAGCTCGGGAACAGTGTTGTTCCTGTTTACCCTCTGTTGTTGGAGACGGAGGCCTGAGGGGGAAGTGGGGGCAAGGAGCAGGTTCCCTGCAGCGACAAGTCCATGGGCAGGGGAGGCAACCTCTGTTGTTGGAGACCAGGACCTGCAGAGGCTGGGGGGAGAGGTTCCCTGCAGGGACAAGCTAGTGGTCGTGAGCAGGAGGGAGTGAGGTGGTGGGGGGGAGCAAGCAAAGCTCTGGATTGTAAACCTCGTTCTCTTCCCGCCTCAGGCTTCAGGGGGCCTCACCCTCCCTGGACATTCTTCCAGTTACCTCTCGGCTAGACCTCTCCCCTCCCAGATACCCGCCCCACGCAACCAGGAGCAGCCCCGGGACACAGCCTGCAGACAGGACTTTTTTGGCAGAGCCTTGGGGAAGGTGACCTGCTGGCTAGGTCACTCTCTTGCCACCCCCAGCAGGCGGGCAGGTTTGTTCTGTCTCTGCTCATGTGAAGCAATGCTACTCCCAGCACAAGAAATCAGGGTGCAGCAGACACCTGGGGTGCCCAGGGGTGGGTGTGCCTCAGATTTAGGATCTGGGGTTCCTCCAGCACCTTCTGGCTCTCCTACAGTCTCTGGAAGCCTCCAGTGAAGACTGCGTGGCTGGCATCTGTCAGCCCTGGTCTACAACCCATAGCACCCTGTGCCTGGTGAGCCAGCACCCTCGCTCTGGACACCACCTCATGGTGGGGTGACTGGCTGATGCTATCACCAGGTTAATGCAGTTAATGGAGCGGCCAAAGGTCCTGCTTGGACTGGCCCCAGCCTGGCCAGCCTAGCCCCAGCTTGGCCATCCTGGTGCAGGCAGGAATAGTGCCTCCTCTGAGGGCAACCCAACTGTGGGGGCCGTTCCTGGGTGCGCATGGAGATGTGTCCCACCTTCCCAGGAAGTTATTAGTTGTAGCTGCAGGACCCTTGGTTCCCCTCCCTACCCAACCCAACCCCAGCCTATGGAAGGCCAAGCCTGGTCGCACCAGGAAGGAGGCAGCGAGCTGTGAAAGCCACCGATGCCTATCGTGGCTGCAGGGGCTGGCAGGACCTTAGAGGGGGCCGTGCAGGGGGGAGCAGCCCTGAGCCACAGAATGCAGTAGGCACATATAACCACGGGGGAAGCTGGGGCGAGGATGGCCTGGGTAGGCTGGGGGCTGGCAGATGCTCAGACTCCTGCCCATCTGCACTGCACCGGAAACCAGGCCACATTATCTGAGGAGCCCCAGAGCACATACTTGCCTCTCCTGGCTTTGTCCACTGCTGAGGCCCCCAATCCACACCAGCCCCGACCCCAGAGGAGGGCCCAGTCCCAGGTGGAAGTCCAGCAGGGAGGCCAGGGACACTGCCCACCTAGAGGCCTAGGTCAGGGACGTTTCCTGGAGTGGTCCAGTACTGCTTCTGGATATAGGAGAAAGGAAGGTGGCCCAGGCAAGGTTTTTGAAGGTGACTTCCACTTTAATGTCCACAACTGTGATCAATAAATAACCATGACCCAACTATTCCCATGTGGTCCCAGAAACAAGCCTTATCATGGGCTTAAGATCCATCTACATGCATGCTGAGGCTGGACAGGCCCAGGCAGTGGGGCTGGGGTTGGGAAGCACGGTCAGCAAGCTAAGGGGGCTATGGTCAGACCTCAACACTTGGGGGACTCTTCAGACCAGGGACATCCTTAGGGGTCTGGGAGCCCCCAGCCCTGACACAGGTGCTCCAGCCACCGCCAAGAATGACAGGGTCTTCGGGGCCCTGGAAGGGAAGCCCAGGGGGTGGGACACTGGAGTCAGCCTCGCACTTGGTGGTGTGGCCAGAGAAAGGCTGAGGCGCCGCAGGACCCAGCATGCTTGGGGGCTCAGGGGGCACCCCCGCCAAAGTGGGGCCCAGCTTGGGTAGCGCCCAGGACCCTGCTGTGGCCTCAGGTCCCTCGGTGGCCACCCGTTTCAGAGAGAGGTCGAGGGGCGTGTCCGGTGGCTGTGCCGCCTGCTCCAGGGCCTGGTGAATAGTCAGAAGCTCCCTGCGGATTTTACTCAGCTGCTCCCGCAGAGGTCGGGGGGCCAGGCCTCCACCTGGGGCCAGTTGCCCCAGGCACTGCTCCACCCTGGCGTAGTCACCCAGGGCCCGGCTCAGGTCCTTTCCCACAGGCCCTGCACTAGCCAGCACCAGGCCCTGTGGCTGCTGGCGGAGGGGGACCTCTGGGTCCAGGGCCTCAGGGTCACTCAGCTCCTTGTCCTCAGGCCAGAGCATCAGGGAAGAGCCAGTCGACAGGCTGAAGGGTAGGAAGTAGTCAGGAGGCTGCAGTGTCCACCAGAGCACCCCAGCCCTTGTTCCCTTGTCTTCTTTTTTGTTGTTGCTGTTTTTGGGACAGGGTCTCACTGTGTAGTTCAGGCTGACCTTGAGCTCACTATGTAGCCCAGGCTGGCCTCAAACGTGTGGCGATCCTTCTGCCTCAGCCTCCTGAGTGCCGGGATTGCAGGCGTGGCACCAGCACGCCCAGCTCCCTGTGACTTCTGCCCCTTCTGTCACCTCATCCCCAGGGAAAGGGAATGGGGTTCTCCAAGGACAGGCAAGATACTCTCGGTCTCAGTTCCCTTCCGTGATCAGGAGCCCATATTTCCGGTGAGTAAGCTCGGGACAGGGCCCAGCCTCCCATCCAGTCCTCCCCTGACCTCTCCATCCCCAGAACCCAGAGTCCACGACACCTACCTGCTCTGGGGACAGAACTCTGCCAGGCTTGAGGAGGCCTTCTGGAGCTCCAGCCTGTTCCCTGGAGGCAGCCTCGTCTGGGGGTCACTCTGGGCAGCTCCCTCCAGCTCTCCCTCCTGCCCTGGGTTCCTAGGGGTGCTGTGGGCCCAGGTCCTGGGCAGCCCTGGAATGGGCACCTTCAGCAGCTCAGGAGCCAGAGTCCCAGAGGGCCCCTTGGGGGGCACAGAGGGCTTGGCCGGGGCTGCCCTGCCTGGGGGCAGCCCTACTCTGTGCTCTAGCAACAGCGGATAGTACAGGCGGGGGGTCAGGGTCTGGTGCTCAGGGGGCTGCTGGGATGGCATAGCAGTGGCTGGGGATAGCAGGGGGCTGGCCGAGGCCAGGAAGGGCATGTGAGCAGCAGCAGCCAGTGAGGGCCCCAGGTAGGAGAAGAGACCCGGGCCAAGAGGGTAGTTGACACCCAGCAGAGACAGGTGGAGGCTGTGGGCCTCAGGGAGGTCGCCTGGAGGAGGAGGTGGGTAGCAGGAGACATTGGTCTCGGGACCTGCTGAGGTCATGGCCCCCACCACCCCCAGGGCCATGTTCCTTGGGCCAGTACACAGCCCTGGCTTCCATGACTCTACCAGGAGCCCAGCAGGGCCTGGACCCTTCCGGGAGGCCCTAATCAGAGAGGGCAGTGGCCCCGGGGACCCTTCCGCCCCAGGCTTGGAGCCCCCACCACAGTGACGCCTGGAGAGGCTGTCAGTGACAAGATTGGGCACAGAGGGCTGGGTACCAGGGCCTGGAGGATCCCTGGGGCAGTCAGGGGTGGGCACCCGGGGCCTGGGTGAGGAGGGTGCATGGCGGCACGCCCAGTCAGGGGAGTCCAGCAGCAGTGAGAGGGAGTCTTTGCAGAGGCTGTACTTCATGTGGTTGTACAGGTGTGACTTCTCCAGGCAGGTGAAGGGGCACTGGAAGCACTTGTAGTTGTATGGCTTGCCCCAGGGCCGAGGGATGTAGTGCGGTTTCTTGGGCTTCCGTGACCGTACCTTGGGCCCCGTGCCCAGGCGGCATGATCCTCCCTCTCGAGACATGGTATTCGGCTAGTGGGCAGGTCCAGGCACCGTGGCCATCTGTTGACAGGGTGCCACGGTCAGTAACAGCTCTCTCAGGCTCCCTGTGCTATGCAGGGGACTCCCCCACGCCAGGAATAAATAGGAGCTCAAGGAGATCTGCTTGCCCCTGCCCTGTGACCTTGGATCCTTGGCCTCTGCACTGCAGATCCCTTGACCTTGAACTCTTCTCTAGGCATTTTCTAGGGCAGCCTGGTTAGCATAGAAAACTGCAGAGCTATTGCTCAAATCTGATCCAGACACCAAATAATTTTCTAGTGTGAGCATGGCCTCAGCATCATTTGTAAACTACTTCAAAAACCTGTTCATTGGGCCGGGGGTCCTGAGTTCAATCCCTGGTACAAACAAAAACAATCAAACAAACAAAAAAACCCCGTTCATCATGATTCTGAAACTTAAGTTCACTGAGTGTCCTGTTTTAGCCAGTAACGATGTACAAATTCCTCCCCTGAAGACAGGTTGGTCCCCTAAGCTAGTTTTGGGGATAATTAGTCTCTGTCCAAGCCACAACCCAGGCAGGTGCCCCGCACCTGGTAAGTGACTGAAAGAAACTGCATGTGACCAGGCCCTCCTGTCCTCTGCCTGCCAGAGACGCCCATGCTTACTGAGCCACCCAGCCCCACTGGAGGCCAAGGTGAAAGCCAATGAGACAGAAACCAGCAGAGGCTCTGACTGCTTAGCACGGTGCCTATGCGTGTGTATGTGTGTGTATATGTTTGTGTGTGTGCCCCAATGCCTCAGACTGCTCCAGTGTAGCGTCAGGTAGCCATGGGGTCTCAGAAGGGGTTGGCTTCACAGGGAGCCAGCCCAGGCTGGAGGGAGTGGACATCACAGCACGGCCCCATAGCACAGCCACCTGCTCAGCCCAGCTCCATCTGGGTGGCTTCAGGCAGGTCGGCAACCGAGCCTGCAGCATGCTCAGCCAAGACCCTCTCCTCCCCACGCCCTATACCACACGCCAGCTCGGGAGCCGCTCTGCGCTCCATCTGGGCCACCACCTGGGCTGTCCACAGCCCTGGCGCTTGTGCCTGTGTGGAGTGTGTGGCGTGTGAGCACACAGGCGTACCCGGCTCTCCAGGAGCCCTGCTTCACCAATTCAAGGAGCAACCTCTTGATGGCTGAGCCACCAGTGCAGAGGGGCTGGGCTGGCATGTCCACATGCCCCATAACCAACTCAGAGTGGACACCACTGCTTGTTCATGACAACACACACAAGTGCACACATACAGCCCTCACCCAAGGACACACGCAGACATGGCTGGGATTCACATGGTCACAAACCCATCATGGATGCGGACACTTGTACATGTCATTGATAGCCAGAAGGTTGAACTGGGAGCGGCTGGGCAGTCGCTGGGCATGGCCTTTCTCAACATTCCCAGAGCAGACAGCTGCCTCTACTGGCACCAAACACCACGTGGGTACCCCTGTTACAGGGTGGAAAGGGGCCCTTCATAGGGTCAGCGTGGCCAGACCGAGGTATGAGAGTGAGGCAAGCAGAGGCTGAGAGGGGCTCCAAGGTCAGGAGTAAACTGGCCCAAGAGACCCCACCTAGATTTGGTGGTTGAAGAGGCAGCCCTTCTCCCCACCCTGTCCCTTACCAGATGTAGATGACAGATATGTGTGCGTGCACAGGCGACAGAGGCGGCTGTACCGGGGCCATCGATCACTCGGCCCTGGGAGCCACACAGCTGTGCAGACTGGTGCTGGCATCAGCCCCCCTCAGCCTGGACTAGGGGCTCCTCCTGTCCCCCTCCACTCCGGGGGCATCCCAGAAAGTGGCTCCTTCTGTGCTGTCCCTTCAGGTCAGGCACCAGCGGAGAGGGGTTGTCCGGAGGCCATTTCATCAGGTGCTGACCCCAGGAGGACCCAGAGGAAACCTAGCGCTCACCCAGCACAGTGTACAGGGATGGGAGACCACACCAGCCACCCCGCACCCCCGGACACACACAAAGACGCATTACTGCTCCTCTCCGGACCTGTGACTGACCAGGGCATGCTCCCGGACCCTCTGGTTGCATTTCCCGTCTGGGATGAGCCCTTGGCACTTGGCACCCTAGGTGGCCACCAGCAGATCATAGCTCACCTACCTTGCCCTCCGCTGGGATTCAGGGAGCACCCCATGCGGCTCCCACTTGGCTGAGGTGGGGCTGGCTGGGACTCTACACTTTCCCTCGCCTCCCCGTTGCACAGCACCCAGGTGGTCCTCCTCGTGGAGTCTGGACACAGGGGACTGGGGACGCCCGGCAGCTGAGGGCATCTGCCTCTCTCGCGATCTGCGCCCCAGCCTAGACTGCGCACCCAACCAGCGCCCCAACTTCGTGGGAAGCGCCGCAGCCCGCCTTACCCGCGCCTGCCAAACCGAGCCGAGCCTGCGGCTCCCGCCAAGTCTGTGAGG